GTGTGTGTATACATATTCAGTGCATAACTATACTCTATTGGGTTTAACAGATATGACCCACAAAGCAACCGCTGGACAAAGGTTGCATCAATGAATACTCGACGCTTGGGAGTGGCTGTTGCTGTCCTTGGTGGTTTTCTTTATGCTGTTGGGGGATCTGATGGCCAGAGTCCTCTTAATACAGGTGAGCTCAAATGAGAATCCCTTTTCCATTGAAACACGTAATACTCAGTTACTTTCTCTGCATTTTGGGATTTTTTTTTTTTACACTTTTAGGTCCTTGTGGCAGAGCATTTGTAAACTGATAAAAAACAAACAAACTTGGTAGAGAGTAGGAATTGAATAACATAAATGATCAACCCCTTTTTTCAGTGGAAAGATACGACCCCAAACTGAACAAGTGGGTGATGATGCCAGCCATGAGCACACGCCGCAAACACCTAGGCTGCGCAGTATACAACAACATGATCTATGCTGTGGGGGGAAGAGACGACTGCACAGAGCTCTCCAGTGCTGAGCGCTACAACCCGCACACCAATCAGTGGAGTCCCATTGTTGCCATGACTTCCAGACGCAGTGGAGTGAGTATAGGGCTTGAATGTCCTCCCTGAGAGAATGTGTTTATTTGTGGATGGTTGTGATATTGCTATGGTCTGACTTTTTTTAAGTGTAGTTTATATTTTAAAAGTTTGTTTATATGCAGTGAGATCTGTTGTTTGGTCTAATGATTCTTATTGTTATCAACTGAGTGAAATAGTTATTAACATTTTCTGTTATGAAAGAATCTGTTAGTTGCAAATATAGTACTTGAGGTTAATTTTTATTGTAATAATGATAGAAATATATTCACTTATGTTGTGAGAGAATCTGTTTATCTAGTGTCTATATAATGTGAATGGTTGTATTTTCATTATAGAGAGATATGAATGTCCTTGTTTGTTTTAGTATGACAAAAATGAGGACACAAATTTACGATGAAAAAAATACTCTTTGACATAGAAAGACAAAAACTCTCCCTCAGGTTGGCTTAGCAGTAGTGAATGGAATGCTGTACGCAGTGGGAGGCTTTGACGGCACAACGTACCTGAAGACGATTGAGGTGTACGACCCGGACCAAAACCACTGGCGGCTGTGTGGGTCAATGAACTACCGTCGGCTCGGGGGGGGCGTCGGTGTGGTCAAGCTGCCACATAACGAGGCTCATCTCTGGTGATTAAACGAAGGCCTAGAGTTCTGGCTGGGAGTCACTGTCAGCGGCAAGTTGGGAATCGGGAATAGCGGACTCTAAGTGGGGAAAACACGTCCTCGCGCATGTGTGTCAGTGACCGCAGTGTGTTCATCGTCTCGGAAAACAGGAGGCGCTATTCCCTGGGTGAGAGATGGAAAAAAATGGGAAAGATGTTGCAGGTTTTGATGACTATTAGATGTGTTGTTCAAGAACTGAATGTTGTAGTGTTCCTTTTTAGATCATTATAACATGCTCTGCCTTGCATGAGAGTACTACATACTCTATGATAGACTTTACATGATTGATGTTCAACAAATTGTGTGTCATGTCAATGTGTCATTACCATAGTTATCATCGAGCAGAGTAGAGCTTACTTGTTGGAACTTGGGGGTTGGGGGGAAGAGGGGTGGGGGACCAGTAGAGACTGACGATAGATGTGAAAGAAGACAGACTCCTCATAGAATGCTAGAATTCTGGGTGTTCTTAAGAAAAAAGTCAAGATATATATATATAGAGAGAGAAGTATATATATATACACACATACTCTATTTTAACAGAACTGTGTTAATATGGACCAGATCTTCGTATATTGTGGACTGAGAGTTGGCCCACAAAGCGTAAACCTCAGAGCCAAACTAGAAGTCACAACAAAATTACCAGCATAAGTAGCTTTAATCCTTGCTATCGTGAAGGGTAGCAAGATCCTAATCACTTTCTGTGGTCAGTAGGAAACAATTTCCAAGACTCTGCCATATTCACTGACCTATAAATACACTAGGCACTGGAAATCATAAGGTTGTGTCCATTTTCATGTTTGGCGCAAAAAAAAGAGAGTCACAGCATTTAATACGCAGCATATTAATGCAGACATCTATTTTTTTTTTATTATTTTTTCTTTTTTTAGTCTTCTCATTCCTCATTGGAGAAAGAAGATTTGGTTTATATATCCAAATTGTAAATTACATTTCACTTTGTAGTTGCAATTTTACTAAATGGCAATTTTCACTAGTAGAATGCTATACATCAATAGTATATGTTCTCACAGCTAAAGAAAATTCTAATGACAATATTGTGTGTTCATGAAATAAACATTGTAGAATACATCAAGCTCCTTATAGCATTTTTGCAATACCAAGCCATGAGATATTGTATTTTCTTAAAAATAGAATAAAAAACAGTTGCAGTTTTTTGAAGAGGTATGGGACTGGCATAGATGATTTTGTTGGAATTTTAACAAGCTTGATATCGAATATAGTCAACTCATTGTCTTAAATACATTAAAGATATTGGTGTTACAAGTGACATCCTCATGAAGTCATACTCACCTTTGTTTCTTCTAGTCTTTTTCTTTTTTTTTTGATATTTGCATTGTATTACCATGCTAGCAGTAGATAGGTGTACTAACACTACATGTTATCATGTATCAGTATTATAATGATGGTGATAGTAACAGTAGCATTGACAGCATAACATTAATTATGGCTTTGTTCTCAACAACGACACCAGTTTCCTTTCTTTCTCCTTTTTTATTGTCACCATCATAATTGGCACTGAAGATAATTGAGAAATGTTTAGGTTTTCAGACTTTTTTTTGTCATTTATTTATTTATTTATCTTTTCACAACTTCATCTTGGAAAAGGAAGCAAAACAGGAAGGCAACTTTTGTCAAATTATGGAAAGCATCAATTGTCCAGAGTTAAGATAAAGATAATGATGATTATTGATTTATGGAATTAGTGTATAGATTCAGATCAGCTGTTCTTGATGTGTATTTGAAATTGTTGTATAGCATGTTTGATTTTCTTATCTGCATTCTCTTCATTCAAGCTGTGTGAAAGGTACATAACCCAGTTTCATGTTGCAGAATCCAAGCATGTTTGCTTTGCCAGCCAGTGCTTGAAGACTTTTGATAAAGGTTTAAGGAATTTTTATCCAAGGAATCTCAATGCTAGGCTGATATCCTCTTGTTAAGACAGAGTGCAAGCATTCATATCCTACAAAATTTGCCAGTAAGGAAGAATAGTGTAGGTTAGGCAGGTAAAAGATTTGCCCACATCGCTTCAACATCAGCTCTGCTTGTATCATTTGCATAATGCATCGATTGGAAGACTCCTTTACTGAAATCTGCTTCCTACCATGACTGGAATCATTTTTGTAAATTCATCCTTTGCCATATATAGATATGATAGAGTCATAGTGGTGCTATGTTCACTCTTCATCAACTTTATACATACCTCTCTCTAGGTGGCAGTGTGACGGAGGGAAAGAATCGGAAGACGTGACGGTAGATTTTTCTTTTTAGCTTTTTTCCCCAGAAGTGAAATCTGTACTATTCTTTTTAAATCACATAGAATTCTATTTTGATAACAAGTGTCCTGTTTTTTTTTCTCTCAGTAAGTGCAGGATTTTGTGCGCGGATGAGGTGAAAGTGAGCCGGTGAACTTTGCTAGTTTTTCCGTTCTGAAGAATGTTCCTCACACACAGTTAATATTGCCACGCACGCACATATATATATATATATAACAGAAGGGATAGCAGTATTGCTAAGAAGTTGTTTTTTGTAGGAAATCTGGTGTATTGTATTTCATGCCATGATTAAAGAAAGGGTTTGCAACTGCATAGGAAAATCTTGTACACATGTCATTGGGATAGTATGCTATTTCTTGGATCTATATCTTATTAAAAAATTGAACTCCAGCCATTGTACGCAAATTATTACAAGCATTGCATTTGTCAAATCTAGGAAGACAAGAATTACAAGAAAAGGAGGGCAGGATAGATCATCATGCAGAAATTTAAATGTTTTCTCTTTTTGCATATTCCTAAGCATGGGATCTAACATGAATTCTATGTGTCACTTCTGTCAAGTGGGTCTGTTGATGTAAGAAGCCAGTGTAATGTTGATTTTTCTGTGTTATGCTAAAAGTATTTCATCGCTTAGAATGGGGCGTCGCTCACATATGATTGATGTGGTTTAGTGCAGCCTTTTGAACATGGCAGTTTCTTTTTTTTTTTCTTTCTTTAAGGGCCACAAAAGTCACAAAAGCTTTATAGATCATTTATGTAAGTATGTGTGTGTAAGTGTGTACGTGAGTGTGTGTGTGTGTTTGTTGGGTGGATCTGTGAGCATTTATATTTATATGTAAATATGAATATATATATATGTTTTGATTGTGAATATTTTCATATAACTTCAAGATAAGTGTTTTGTGTGATGAACTGGTGAGTGTGATGAATTTTTGCCTCAATAGTTTTGCTGATATTATTATTATTATTATTATTATTATTATTATTATTGTCATTATTGTCATTATTATTATTATTATTGTTATTGTCATTTTTGTTCTTCTTCTTCTTCATCATCTTCTTCTTCTTCTTCTTCTTCTTCTTCTTCTTATTATTATTATTCTTATTATTATTATTATTATTATTATTATTGTTATCATCATCATTATTATTATTGTTATTTTCAGCATTATAACTAGTATTATTTATATTATTATATATATATTTGTTTATTTTTCTCTCTGTATTTAGGTTTTCCTTTGAAACAACTGTCATTTAGAATAGTTTTTTGTCATTTGCAAATCATGACTTACAGAGAAGCAGATCGTTACCAAAGGAATTAAAGAAAAGAAACCTAAGCTTAATGTCCGATTCCAATTTTGGCTGAGAGATGGCGCTGTATATTACTTTGGATTTCTGATGATGGCTTTTACGTCGCTAAGATTGTGATATTTGTGTAGTAAATTGTTTGTGCAATATTTTTTTTTTTTTTTTTTTTTTTTTTTCAGTTTTGTTATGATTATTATTTTATGGATATTATTATTATTATTATTACGATTGTCATTATTATTATTGTCATTGTTATTAATATTATTATTATTATTATTATTATTGTTACTATTATTATTGTCATTATTATTATTGTCATTATTATTGATAATATTATTATTATTGATAATATTATTATTATTATTATTATTATTATTATTATTATTATTATTATTATTATTATTATTATTATTATTATCATTATTATTATCATCATTATTATTATTATTGTCATTATTATTATTGTCATTATTATTATTATTATTATCATTATTATTATTATTGTTATTATTATTATTATTATTATTATTATTATTATTATTATTATTATTATTATTATAATATTATTATTGTTACTACTATTATTATTATTAGCACTATCATTACTATTATTATTGATATTATTTTCTGTTGTTTTTAAATTGATAGTGATGATGATTATTATTATTATCACCATTTACATTATTGATACTAATATATATAAAAAAAAAATATTGACACACAGAACAGTGACAGAAATATTGGGTAGGTGCAATTTGTTGAGAAAATATGACATTATGATTGAATAACAGCATTTCAACCTTTGTATATTGAAGTTTCCAGATTTGAAATTGAAGTTTCAAGCAATATTTCTGTGGAACTTTGGTGATAATTGAGTATATTTCATCCTGACAGTTTTAATGGAAAGCATGGTGTACTTTCCTCATTTAGGGATAACACTTCCATTTGCATTGTCGTTAATGAAAATGGTTGAGAGTAATGCATTTTTTTTTTTTTTTAGCCATATTTAATGCTTTTTTTGTTTGATTTAGTCATTATTGGAATGTATGTTTACTTGCACAACAAAGAGAGTTTCTAAGATGTGATTTAGTTAAAAAAAAATAAAAAAAATAGAAAAAAAAAAACTGACTTTAGACGATATATGTAAAAACAACACTTGCATGTAAATAAATAACTACAGCCAGCTCTTTCGTAAACTTTCTATTTTGATGTGGTGATTGTGTGGATAGAGTAAACCGTAAGCGTGCAAGAAGGGACGATGATTTGACGTTAAAGCAAATCTTGTACTGTACATAGATATCGATGTTTTTGTTCCAGAATCAAGTGAGATTACGCTAAAGTTACTTGAGATAAAGTTCCGAGTTTTTGAAACCTTCGCGGAAATTGGAGGAATTTGAGATTTTGAGGAAAAAATTAAAATGATTTATGTGATGTGATCTTATTGCATCCACGTTTGGAATTGGAAAGGAACTGACGTAAAAGAAAAAAAAAACCTTTTCACAAATTTTTTGATAAATATATACATTCCATTTGGAAGGCAAAAAATGAGGCAGCGATTGGCTCCATTTAAATATCTTAGGTGTGAAGTCCAAAAAACCTCTTTGGCACAAAATTGAGGGTTTATGGCATTCATTTCATTCACTTGTATTTACCATACTGTCAAAATAGCTTTATGATGTAAAGGATGTTTTGTTGTATTCATAAAACTATAGAAAGGAGGACTGAGTTTGAGAATCCTAATTTGTATGGTGTGTATGTGTGGCATGACAAAGAATAATGCCAGTTTGTTCAAATAAACTGTTATAATCTTGTCTGGGTTTTATTGTACAAAGCTTTTATTTATTAGGTGTTTCCTGCTTTCCTGATAGGATACGGAATAGATTATGAAAAAAAAACATGATGCAATAAAGCCACCATTGCATTTGCCTGATATCCTGGATAAATGTGTTTGTATTGCAACCCAACTGTAGGGCATATTATTAAATTTTCATTGCAGCTAAAGCAGTGTTGCAAATATTATCAAGTTAGACTGTGTTGGCTAATGGAAGTAAGAAGTAGGAATAACACACAGAATCAATCCCCACAAGATAGACGAATAAATGTAATGAACGATAGGTTATAGATAAATTAATATGCAGGTTTTATGTCACGAACTCCCTCGCAAGTGCCGGCCGGTGCTTTCTTTCGACCTTGTTTTTTGGTAAGTGGCGGCCTGTCCTTTTAAACTCGGACCATTACGCGCGCTGAATCAAGGCCTATAAAAGTACCTTCCGCTGCGTGACCGACCCTCAAAGCTCCCAGCCACGCGCGTTACCGCTGCACCACGGCGGCCGATGAAGTTTGAATGAAATAGATAAATGGATGGATAGATAGAATGACAGCTAAATGAATAGATCGAACGATGTAAATTATTGATAGATTGACAGCTAAATGAATAGATAGAATGATACAGATGATAGAAAGAATGAGATAGATAAATGGATGGAGAGAACGATGTAGTAATTGGATGGAGAGAAAAAAAAGAAAAGTAAAATAGATGATAGAGATAGATGGATAGATAGATAGATGAATGTAGACAGATAAACAGGTAGATAAATATACAGCAAAGTAAAAAAAAATGTAGATGAAGAGACTTAAAAAAGGAAAGGAATAAGCAAAATAAGATGTATACAGAACTTGCGTAAAGAATGACGCTCGACGGAAATATTTTGATTACTGGAGAGAGCACATATTGAATATACCAAGAAACTAATAGCACACATACACACACACAATATGCATACATACATATATATATATATATATATATATATATATATATATATATATATATATATATATATATATATATATATATATATATATATATATTCCATGTCGATATGTTTATGATGTGTATACATTCAATTGGTAAAGTAACTGAAACCTGGGGTTACCAACCGTAGAGTTTTTCCAGTCTCCATTTCTACATGTAAGTGTACTAGAGAGAGAGAGAGAGAGAGAGAGAGAGAGAGAGAGAGAGAGAGAGAGAGAGAGAGAGAGAGAGAGAGAGAGAGAGAGAGAGAGAGAGAGAGAGAGAGAGAGAAGAGAAAGAGAGGGAAGAGAGAGAGAGAGAGAGAGAGAGAGAGAGAGAGAGAGAGAGAGAGAGAGAGAGAGAGAGAGAGAGAGAGAGAGAGAAGAGAGAATACATGGATAAATACATACACCCACACCCACACCCACAAATGATCTCTCTCTTTCACACAACCCTTCGTAAATATAGCTTAACTTCACAATAACCTGAAAACCTTAATGATGATTAATGCAAATAAGGGGAAGACGTTCCTTGCCCCCCCCTCTTTATGATCAAAGAAAAGCCTGTAAAAAAACACTTATTCTACCTTATTAGTTTAAAACTGATTCATCATCATTATCGAGTTAGTTTCGGGATCATGTTTAATGAGAAATATTGTTTAAAACTTAGTGTTATCCTTATAAAATACTCAATTGCTTTAATGCATATTCGTAGTGTATACATTTCTACAATTTGACGAAGATGTAAACACTGTCTAAAAATCAAATTTGGTAGATAATAGACATCTCAAAATTCATATTTCTTTTACATGAGTATAATGCGGAATACCACATTAAACAACTTATAAAAACAACCAGGAAATTGTTATATCTTATTCAAAAAAAAAAAAAAAAAACTATATATATAATAATTTCCCTAACCTTCCCAACCCTCACCCAAACGCAACAAAAAAATGTATATAAGGCGAAAATAACGTGTCCGTATATATATATAAAAAAGACAAAAATACAAAAAAACAAGATAATGTGCCCGCCATTGCGACGACGAACAGCTGACGATGCCGCCAAGAAGTCCCGGATGTGAATTTTTTTTTTTTTTTTTTTTTTTTTGTGAGGGTAATGGTAGGTTGGTGGATAGGGGTTCCTGTGGAGAGGGGGGAGGGGGGGGGGGGCGGAAAGGGGGAGGTTCCTTGGCCATCTTCTTAAACGATGAGGCTGGGATATTTGACAACCGTTTCGTTATTTAGAGAGGGAAAGAATTCGGGATTTTCCTCCTCGGCTGTATTCTTATCTTTTGGCGCGTTCTTTTTGTACACAAAATATAGATACACATACTCTGAAACACACACACACACATACACATACACACACACACACACACACACACACACACACACACACACACACACACACACACACACACACACACACACACACACACACATATATATATATATATATATATATATATATATATATATATATATATATATATATATATATATATATATATATGCATATATATATGTATACATATATATATATATATATATATATATATATATATATATATATATATATATATATATATATATATATATATATGCATATATATATAT